AAAGACAGAAAACAATAAGGAAAAACCAACCCTGAAAAGCTGAATTGCTCCTTACCCCGTGTAAAATAGCCCTCGCCCATCCCAGCTGCCCTGGTTGTGTCTTGGTGCTGAGCTTAGAACGTGTTTTCTTGCGGATCCGTCGCTTGAGCGGGGTTTGTCTGCGTGTTCCCCTTCCCGACAGGGCCAAAATCCATCCTTTGGCCTTTTGAACTGAACCTTGGAATGGAACAAACCCAATGAATCTCTGCCCCATTTACTCCAATGAACAATAAAAGTCTAATTTTTACCTGATGCTTGTGCTGGTTGTGTTCGGGATCACTTTTCCTGCTCCATTGGGACACGGAGTGGGGGGGGGGAATCTGGGCTCTCGGGAATGCTGCTATGGATCTCGAGCAGCTCCAGTGTTGAAGGGGATGGTGGTGGTATCAACAGGCAAAACCCATGAGAACCAAAGGGCTCCCTGGTGTTGCTGCTCGCTTCAAACCGTGCTGCTCTGCGCTGCACCGCGGTGGGTGACGGTGGCAGCAAAGGATGCTGCTGTACCCTGGGGATACCAGATGGAACAGTGGGAGTTTGGCACGGTCCTGCCCTACATACAGGGTTTTGCTTGGGGGGGGGGGGGGTCACATCCCCATGAGCACCCCCTAATCCGGGCAGCGGGGGGGGGGGAGTGGGGACAAAGCCCCTCAGGAGCCCCCCCAGCATCGCCCTGCCCGTGCCGGGCTGGAGCCCTCTCTGACCCCATCCTTTATCCCTTTATTTCCTGCCTGCCCGCTGCAAAGCAGCTCCGTCAGCTCCGGCATCATCTCTGCATCCTGAGCGGAGCGAGGAGGGGAGGACGCAGGGGCTGGCGGAGTGGCGGCATCCCTTGTCCGTGCCGAGCATCCCTTGTCCCTGCTGAGCATCCCTTGTCCCTGCTGAGCATCCCTTGTCCCCACAGTGGGGAGCCTCCCCTCCGCTCCTCAGCGCCATGCTGGATATCTTCATCCTGATGTTTTTTGCCATCATCGGCCTGGTGATCCTCTCCTACATCATTTACATGCTGTAGAGCAGCGCTGGGGACGATGCGGCTCAGCCACCGGGGTGTTTGCCAGGTGAGTGGTTGCTCCTTGTCCCATCAAGCTTGGATTTTCGGGGGATGGAATGCGTCCTGGGAGGCAGGAGAAGGGGGAGGTTTGGGGTTAATGCTGCTGCTCAAGGCAGCTGAGCTCTTCCTGCTCAGGGCTGGAAGGAGGGCACCAGGCTTTGTTCCAGAGCTCAGGCCACCTCAGCCATGCTGCTTCCTCCCCAGCGGCTCCAGCAGCCCCTTCCTGGTTGGAAAAGCTGCTTTAACAGCGCTGCAGCACGAGCTGGTGGCTCCCGTTCCCAAGAGGGACAGAAATCAAATGGCTTCAGGGAGAAGCAAGAAGGGATCCTGGTGCCTCATTCTAAAGGAGGCAAAGGGGGGGTTCGGTGGCTCTGCTGGCAATGGGGGCCTGCAGCCGCTGCCACTGCCCCCATCCCTGGGGCCGCTGCAGCTCTCGGGCCTGGCTCTGACCAGCATCTCCTTTCTCTTCCACAGCCACCACCGCTGCCTGCTCCATCTCCCACAGAAGCTTCTGGAACAGCATAACCCCGCTGCGAGGAAACGGAGAGCTGAAGGAGGGGAATGGGGTGGTGGGAGCCAGGGGACATCCTGCTGCTGATGTTCCCGGTGCTGGACGCAGCATCCCAGGGGATGAGGACGGTCCTGCTCCCCCTCCCTGCGTGGCTTCCCTTGGGATGAGCGCTTCCGAGGGTTTAGCTTTAGAAAATCCCTTCTATTTTCAAACGAGAGATGTAAAATGTAGAAGGAAATGAAATAAAGAGGAATGAGACGAGGGAGAGAACGCGGCCGATGCCGAACGTGTCCTCCTGCACAGACTGGAGCGTCCCTGAGCCGGGCACTGCCCGTCCCCATCTCTTGGATAACCTCACCACAGCAAAAAGGAACATTTTAAATAGGATGGGAATTCCTGTGGGATGGAAAGAACGTTTCAGAGCTTCAGTTCCCCCCGCGAGGAGAGGTCTGGGAAGGTGTTTTGGGGCATCAGGAGGAATTTTCCTGTCCTTTTATGAGCTTTTTCCTATCCTTTTACAACCCCCCATGTCCATCCCTGCTCCTCCAGGCAGTCCCACGCTATCCTGCTCTCAGACTGGAAGTCTCATCCTCCTCAAAGACAAAATAATCCCTGGTCTCCCCTGGGATTATTCTGTTCTTAAGCCATAAACACCTGAAATGCCCATGATGGGAAAAGCTCCTCGTGGTTAACCATTAGTTAACCACAGCACCAGCAGTGCAAGCAAGTGGGACCCACATAGAACAGGGACCAAAGTGGTCGATGGGACCTTCAGAAGATGCTGTTTGCAGGAAGCAGGGGGATTTCAGAGCCTGGGAATGCTGGATGTGGTCGGTGCTGCCAGCTGAGCGCTTGACACGGCAATTCCTCTTAGTAAAACTCTGGGGAGAAAGCCCAAGTTGGTGACTCTGGTCCCAGGCGTGTCCTTGGGGTGCAGAGAGCCGAGGCCTGGAGATGGGGAAAAGCTTCTCCTCGCTCCACCACCAAATATAGCCGAAAATGGGAAGCTGGGAGTATTCTGGGAGGAATTTCTTCAGGCACAAGTCATGTTCTCACCAACCTCCCCTCCGTGGGCCTGTGTCTGATGTCAACATCTGCAGTGATTAAGAGAGAGTGAGTAAGGAGGAATGCATGGAATGGAAACTCAGCTGAGTGTGAGACCAGGAGCAGTCATTTTCTCTTACTCCAAGCTCTCCTCTCCCCTCCACGGCCCTTCCACACCCACCAGCAGGGTGGAATGATCCCTTCCTCCCTGTCCCAAACCAGCCAGCTCCGTGCTGGAGGGTGAAGTGCAGAAGGATGGAGACCACCGGGCAGGAGAAGTGGCTGCAGCAGATGGGATCCAGGGCTCCACACTGGCACAGAGGGAATTTTGCTTCTCACGCTGGGAGGGTTTCAGCTCCTCGTGGCAGCAGTTCAGATTTGGCAGCTTTTTCTTCTCCAAGCTCCTCTGGATCCAGGGTTTGTGCTAGCCCAGAGGTGTTCAATCACCAGAGCACATCAGAGGGTGATGTTGGTGATACTGGCTTCAAGTGTGGTGCATTCCCAGGTCAAGCACAAGTGGTCTGGGGAGTCCCACTGGGAAGGGGTTGAGCTTTGGTCCTTGCTGGTGGCAATGCTGGTGTACGTATGAACGCTGCAGAAGCCAGCACTGAGCTGGTGTGTGTGCAAGGAAAAGAGCAGTTCATAATGATTAATGACACCATCAATAACTCACAGTGGGCAGCTTTAGCACAACTGGGCCTTCAGCCTGGGCCTGCTGCCGGTGAATCAAAGAACTCCTCCTGTGCTGCTGTGCTGGCCCCAGGGCATCCTTTGGGACAGGCTATTGCCACCGTGTCCTTGTCCCAGGAGAGGAGCCAGGTGCTGATGGGGGAGCTGCTCCAGCCTGGGGGGTGCTTTGTGTCAGAGCAGTGACACACTGGAAACCCAGTGGAGCGGGAAGGTGCAGGACACTGTTATCAATCCGTTATTCTGGATTCCACCAACCAAGATGATTTATTGATGGTGATCCCTGTATCTAGAGCAGTGGGACAGTGATTGATCCAGGCAGTAGCATTCCAGCACAGCGGCTCCTCAGCTGTATCTCCCTGTCCCTGTATGTGCCCCTGTATTTGCTCCTGGTAGTTTGAGCTCCTTTGGGATCAGTTTGGAGGCACTCAGTTCACTGACAAAGCCTTGGACAAAGAGCCTTGCTTTTGGCTTCCTTCAGAGCCAGTTACACGTAGTTGCAGAGCAGTTGTAGGAATGCAGTGTGCTCTTGCTAACCTTCCAAGAGCAAGGAAAAGGGATGTTGGAAGCGATTCTGCAGACACTCCTCTCAGGAACGGTTTCACCTCTGCCATCTACCGGCACGCTGCAAGGATCCTCAGCAAACACATATGCCATCCTCACTCCTTAATGGAGTCAGATCCTGCCGGTAATAGCGTATTCACCACGTTGAAGGATCTTTAACGTGCAGGCTGCTGTCACTGGTGAAACCAAGTGGGGGCAGCTGCCATCAGTCGGCTGTCGCCTGCAGCTGAAGCACTTCCGAAGCTGAACGTGGGTCCCTGCAGCTAAAATCTGGTCCTGGAGGAACACAGAAATGTTTGGGTGGAGGAGAGGCTCTTTAATCATCGGGAGAAAAACAGCCACGTTGTAAACAACACAGAGTAAAGTAAGTGCTCTTTATTGTGCATCACATAGGCTTGAAGGCAATATAGGAGAGAACCAAAACCTTTCCTAAGGAGCAAACATTTATGTACCTTAATGAAACAGTGATCTTAGCCTACGTGGGTTTAACATGTATCTTCCACTCGGCTAAGTCCTACAACAACCCTTTAACAGCTCGCTTCTCACACAAGGCAGGGAGAGGGATCTGAAGTTTCTTGGTTTATGGGTAGAAGGTGCCTGTGGTTTGAGGGGGGATTGCCTTGCTTGATCAAAGGCTGTCAGGAATCACCTCTTCCTGCTAAAGTGGGCTGAGGAATATAGAGAGTGCTTCTGTCCCAGGATTAAGAGGTAGTGAGAGAGACCTCTTCAGTGTAGCTGCACTTCTCTACTTACATCTGCCTCTTTCTCCTCCGATTCCCAAGGGAAAGCAAAATGGAAAGATCCAAATATTTTTGGTTCTGAACTAAGATAACATTCTTCAATTTGTGTGTGCCCCTCAAACGCGGAAACGGTGTCATTTTTATTGTGTATGCAAACAGCCACAGTGGGAAAAGAATGCAGGGTATGTTCCCAAAGGAGAGGCCCCCACTGCCTTCCTCAGTGCTGCCACAGAGCAGCTAAAGGCCCAGAACTCCACTGCGAGGTCCCAGCAGCTCCATGAGCTCATTCCACTGGGCTGATGTGTCCCTGGCTCCTCCCGCTGCCGCTCCAGCTCCTGCTGGAATGGAAGTTTTTCACAAATAATTGGACATTGCTTTGAAAAAAATGCTTAGGAAAAAAAAAAGCTTTGGAAAACCCCAGCAGGATTTGAGCAGAGTCCGGCACACCCGGAGCGTCAGGCAGTGCTGCTGCTGGGGCTGACCAGGCTCAGGCATAGGAATTCCTTATGGAAGTTCGCTTGTGCGTTGACAAGGTGAAACAAGTTCAAGAAGCTGCTGTCCTCTTCATCACGATCCCCTGCGGGAGCAGAGCAAAGCAGTTAGGGATGACCAGTGAAACACAATTACTTCTTGAAGCTAAGTCTTATTCCCTGTGTGTTTTCAGCAGCCTCTGCTTAGATGTACAAGGCATCAGTTACGGCACCTAAGGGCAGCGCAGCTGAGGAAGCACACTGGAGACTCTCCAACATTTCCCTCACCAGCTTGTCCGAAGATGGACAAGAGCAATTGTGCATTAAGATGCAGGAGCAGGGTGTTCGTCTCTCCAGCTTGTTACCATCAGCAGTCTGGAGGCTTTATGGAGGCTGACAAGCTGTGGTACAGGGAGCAACTTCTCAGAGCCCTGGTTTAGGCTCAGCCCAGAAGGATCTTGGGCCTAACGCTTGGTGGGACCTGTTTTAGAAGAGTGTTGCTTCCCCTGGCCATGGCACTGGGAATCTCTGAGGCAAGAGGGACTGGTTAAAAGAAATGTCTCTCCCAATTATCATAGGATCCCAGCCTGGTTTGGGTTGGAAGGGACCTTAAAGCTCCTCCAGCTCCAACCCCTGCCATGGGCAGGGACCCCTTCCACTGGAGCAGCTTGCTCCAAGCCCCTGTGTCCAACCTGGCCTTGAACACTGCCAGGGATGGGGCAGCCACAGCTTCTCTGGGCACCCTGTGCCAGCGCCTCAGCACCCTCACAGGGAAGAGCTTCTGCCTAAGAGCTCATCTCAGTCTCCCCTCTGGCAGGTTAAAGCCATTCCCCTCATCCTGTCCCTACAGGCCCTTGCCCAAAGCCCCTCTCCAGGTTTCTTGTCAGCCTTTCTAGGTATTGACACTCATGATTACTTATGACATTGATTTTATGATATCAAAGCACTTGAGGCAGCCCCATATTGCTCTGGTGGTGAGGGAAGAAGGAGGCCTGGATGTGGTGCCATGCTGACCAAGTTGCTCCCTGCCCTTGTCAGTGCTTACCAGACAGCACTGCCTGGAGCATGTCCATGATGAGGTGAGCAAAGGCATTCTCCAGACACTGTAGAAAGTAGTTTCTCTCCCCTGGAGTGCTGAAAACGTTGCAGACCTTCTGCATCATTTTTACTGCCCAGTCCATGCAGTACAGGTCCTTCTCACAGACCTGATGGACATGGGGAACATTAGAAACACGCCTTTTATGGTGGGAACAAAACCACAGAAGGCAAGATTAAATTTTAGGATTAAGCGTTGATTCTAATGCAGGGCTGTAGCCATGGCCTAGAAAATGAGGGGCTGCTCTCAGGACATAGAGGTTGCTGTTGTGGTTGGCATGCTAATGGGGGAGGTGCTCCACTTTCTGCTAGTGGTACTTCTCCTCAAAGCCAGGCTTTGCAGTGGCTGCACAGGGACCAGAGGGTGAAAGAGTTCCCAAGCCTCTGCCAGGACTTACTCCTGGTACGTAGGAATAGATGGGGCAACAGTTTTCAAGTCTGGGAAAGCAAATCTGGGGGTAAAGAGACAAAAGGCCTGAGCATGCTCTGTTCAGGGGCACTCACCAAGGCCAGGAACACCACGAGCCTGGCTAACTCAGCCACTCGCCCGTTCACAGCTTTACTGGCCATGAACGTGAAGCAGATGTTGTTTCCACTCAGAATGAGCAGCCGAGCATTGTTCTCCATGAGCCACTCCCTGGGAACCACTGCAGGAACCAGAGAGAGTTACAGCCAGCTTTGAACAAAAGAAAGGAGTGCCACAAGAACTGCTCTGAATGACATGAATCTGTGAATCATTGGCTTTGATAGCTAACCAGGACATGGAGGGGATACTCTCTGGATTGCAGTTGCAGCACTGAAGCTCCTACCAGCAGTGCAGTTAGAGCTCTTCACAATAGCTTTCATGACACAACCTCACCCCAAGCTAACTTTCAGTGTAGCTGTTAACATTGTTCTGTAGATGTTGGCTGGAACAACCATTATGTTTTCAGCTTACACAGCTTGCACAACGTTTCCTCACTAATGGCTAGACAAGACTTGGATTTTAAAAGGTCTGCATGGGTTCTTAAAATACTTCACAATGGGGAAAGACAGCCTGGATTTGTCAGCAGTGCTGGGTTTCTCTCCTCCCCAGCTACTGCCTGGCTTCCATGTGTAATGGCTTTTCCAGTTATGCTGCAGCTACTGTAAGGAATATCACAATCAGCTTCCCCAGGCACCCGTGTGCTGGAAACACACCCACTGCCAGATTTTAGGCCATGAGTGTATAATCCTATGGATTAATGATAAAGGCAAAACCACACCTGACAGCTCATCCACAAGACTGATGACATCGTCTGTTGTCCATTCTCTAGCTTCTGCATCATAGAGCAGTTTAATGGCCTCTGCTAGACCTTTCAGGCTGGCTTCATCTGTTGGTCCTTGTATCATTTTCTTCCAAACCACGTGTCCTGAGCAATATATGAGCCACAACTGCTGGTAAGTGACCAAGTGATTAAACAAACTCTGTAAATGACACACACACACACACCCCCCCCCGACTACTCGCCATCAAGAGAGGACACTGGCCCAAAGATGATGTACAGCAGGCGAGCTTGGTTAACCATGGGCCATGGCTTCAAAATGCGGGTCAGCCAGAACGCGGAGTCGCTGCGATGAACCCAGTGGTTCAACAAGACGCTGCGGCAGTACAACCTGATCCTCAGCTCCAGCTTCTGGGCACTTCCTGGGGCAAAAGAAGGTGGATGTTATCAATCCAGTAAGCCTGAGGTGATACAGATGATCACTTCCTTCATAGGAAGAAAAAGAAGGATTTTCTTAAAGCTGCACCAGAGCATCGAGAGGGATTGAAGGAAATTCTGGCTCTTTTAGGTACGTTGCACTAATTCAGGCCATAGGATCTATTGATGCAGCATGTGGTACCTTTCTGCAGCAACTCATGTCTAGTTCAAGAGCTCTCAGCTGGGTTTTGGTTTCTGGGGTTTGGCATCAGTAAGTGGAAACAGGAGGAAGGTGTGTATGTGGCTGTGGATAGTGTCCCACAGAAATACCCAGTCCTGTGCTGCATAACATGAGAATTTCTTGAGAGGTGTGTGCCACATCACTGCTGAGTTTTAGAAACATTAAACCTGACTTTTTACTGATTCCCTCTCTTTCTGTGTTGGTTCCTTTCCTGCTGATTTCACTGGTACTGGTGTACAGTCAGAAAGGTTCAAGTCCATGTTACTATTCACATACATACATAACTTATGCATTGGTTTGATAATGGAATGATTCAAAACACCCCAATGCCTCTCAGGACAACTCTTTTCACTTTAGGGTAAGTGAAAAGCATTACGGTAACAAAAGCATTTATCTTTGATGCTGGTAAGCAAAAAATACCTCTATCTATCTGTGTGAAGGCCAAGTATTTGCCTTCAAATGCCCATTTTCTGCCTAACGTTGGAGCCAATAGAATGTACATGAGTCTGGAAAGGATTGGTGCTACAAGGCTTAGGAGAGTTAAAGCAGTCTCAATTCTAGACACGTTTTGTTTGCAGTAATGGAGCTCCATTTTCTGCCTTTTCCTTGATAGTGTGTTTCGATTTGGTAGGGCTTTTGTCTGCTTTGATGATTACCTGGTTTGCTGCTCACAACTGTCTGTACTTTACGGGCTAAATTGCTCAGCTCCCAGAGGAAGTTAAAAACCCGGTGACACTCCAGTTCATCCCAGCCTGCTGTTAGGATCTGAAGGTTACAAAAGAGAGGGGGTAAAAATGAAGAGATTGAGCCCTAGATGTCCATCACAATGCCATTTCTCCTATTGGATCAATGCAATCTGTCCTGCAGTTTCTCAGAAGGACAGGGAGGGAAGGTGTCATACCTGCAGTGTGGTGCCTGCACAGCTCCTTCCTTATGAGCAAAGGGAAACCATTATCTGCTATAGAGGGGCTGTGCATTATGCCAGAGGTTGTGCTTAAGCTTAGTGCAGCCCAGAATCAAAAGCTGCCAATGGTGTCCCACATTCAGAGCCAAGATCTTAGTTTGGAACCTTATGTGGAGAAGTACAGAAAGGGATTTGCTACAAAGACAAATGTCCCAGCACAAATAATTATCTGTAGCTCTTAACCACAGAAAGATAATACAGGTTTTGGTATTATCAAAGCCTTTCTTGCTGCATATGTGTAGAACACGTGTAACACAAGTTTCTAAGACTTAAATGCTTTTTAAATGGGCTCAGGGTGCCTGTTCTTTTCAGAGAGAACTTCTTTCTGTATTTTGTTTTATTGTTGCTCTCCACTAAAGCCTCCACTATGGCAATTCCAGCACTTCACTATCAAACGTCTCAAGTAGTGTTAAGAAGCCCAACCCAGAGTGTTCCACTGCATCTTTGCAATCACAGCAGTCATTACGGTAAGTAAGCCTCTTGAGCTGTGAATTTGAAGCTGTGTAATCAAATGTTCTCCTTCTCCCATGTCATCTTAGATAATAAACGGCTAATCAAGATCCAGACTGGTTGGTAATGAAATCCAAACCGAGGAATTCCCAAGTCAAATCAGCAACTTTAACAAGCAGAAAGGAAATTCATGGAACTGTGTGAATAAATACCTTCCCCCTACATCCCAAGGCTCAAAACCATCTTAAACGTCTAAATAGCTTCCAAAACCACAGATTAATTTAGAAAAACTGCCTCATTTTTCTTTTCTATTTGGGATACTTGCCTTGTCTCCATAGATACTGTACCTGTAAAAATACCCCATAACACTGTAATCCCAAACAATGCAGAGGACTTGGACAACCATTAAGTTTGAAACAGGACACCTGGAAGGGCAAAACATTTGTGATTTATCTGGCTAGAAGCTAATTCCTGTGATTGAAAATTCTCTGTGCTACCTATGGACATCAAGACTGATTCAAAAGACTCAGAGGACTCCCTTATTGTATAAGGAAACAAATTATAGTCCCTATGTCAAGGCTTAGCATTAAGTCCAAAACTGTGGTCAAAAGGGTGTGCAAATGGTCTCTAAGATGAGCAACCCTGTCTCCTCCAGGAGAGTCACATTCCTGGAAGAGCTGTGCTCTTCCTCTGCAACATTTCTAGTAGTCCACAAAGTGAAGAGAGGCTGAAACCCACTGCTCTTGGAATATGAAATCTCTGCAGAACAGCCTTAGTCTAGGCTGGCTTAGGCTTTTCTCTTGTTAAAGAGAGACTGATTTCAAATCAATAAACTCATTACACAGTAGTAATAAACTCCAGCAAAGGGACAGTAAAAGGCATCATTCAACATTAAGTGCTTTATAGAAATGGTGTTGTAAGTGCAAGGGACAATTAGAAGCAGTAGTGAAAGGACCATGAACTTACTCCTGAGAGAACCTTGTGGATGTACTTCAGCCTCTCTTTAGTAGGCAGGAGAAGCGTGCATCTTTTAAGCAACAATCCTGTGAGCAGAACAAACACATGCATGTTGTCAGTACAGCCACGCAGCAGAGGCGCTCCTCAATGAGCAGAAGTGCTCCCATCACACATATCCAACACACCATCCAGAAAAACTGCTGTGAGGCAACAAGAGCAGCACAAAGAGTAATTTGTGCTTTGGAGGAGAGGTGCACCCTCTTGTAGCAGAGATATCTTTTACTAGAGAAATGTTGTCAGGGCTTCCTAGGCCATAACTTGTTTATTGTGTTGTTGTAAAATCCCCGTTAGCCACAGTTGGAGCCCTATAAAAATTACTCTATTGGTTTTAGAATTACAGCAGTTAAAAATACTGGAAAGAAATGTTACTCGTTGCACCTCTTCTAACAGTTCCCTGGGGAATGCTGTTTTCCCCTTCTATCATGGAAAGACGAGCTTCCCAAATTGTTTTCAAGATAGCCACGTGCTCTAAAAGGAAAAGATTCTAAATGGTGTGAATGTAAAACGTAGCTAAGGGGTGGAATTCTTTTTCCTCTACAGGACTGAAATGGTCCATTTAGGATGTCCAAGTCTGGAGTTCATTATAGCCTGGAACAGCTACCCTACTGATAGAAAAGAGGTTAACAGCTTGCTTTTCAAAACCTTTTACCAGAATTGTGTATATATATAGTTAATTAATCAAGAAATCCACAGAAAAGCATGTGCTTTGTACTTTTCAGGGGGAGGGAAAAAAGAGGAAACCTTTTTTGTCTGAATTGTCAGTCTCCCAAATAACACACAGCTTCTCCAATGTCAAAAAGTGCTTTCTGCATTCACTGTGGTTCCAAAGTGACTCTTTCTTTCTTTAGCAGGGTGTGAGCATTCCTGTGTGACAGACATCATTTATTCATCAGCCCATGACAGCGTCCAAAGCTCAATCAAGTCAATTTGCTCTGGACTATAATAGGCTTTAGAGAGATGTCCCAGACAGGCATCAGCAGGGGGAATCCTGGTGGGTGAAAGGGTTGAGCAGAAGGTGCTGCTCCTGGGTTTGCTCAGCAGAATCCCCCCTGTGCAGAAGGACAGGGCCATGATCATTTAGAACTCAAGTCTCTTTTAAACCATGGCTGGGATTCTGACCCTATTATAAGCACTGGAAGATTTTACTGTGCACTTGAGTGGAGCCAGACCCCTGTGAGGTTAAGTGACATTTATGTACAGTCCCTGCTCAGGCTCTCTGAATGACAATGAGTTTTTTCCATTGTATCCAATCTTTTCTGCTGTAAAGTGAATATTGATTTTGCAACTGACCTCTGAACAAAAACGTACTCTTGAGTCTTCCACTGATGACACAGATATTGCCAGTGATCTTTATATTTTGAGTATGACATTGGTTTACTACTAGGCCTACTATAGTGTTCACACCTACGTCCAAATAGCAAGTTGCCGTTTTGTGTGTGTCAAACTAATTTTGACATTTATTTTTAGTTGTTTTTTAAGAATTGTAAGTTTTCAGGCTTCATTTTAAAATAAACCACTAAGATTACTTTAAGATACCTCAAAACCTGGAAGGATTGCTTACAATAGGAGCTCTTTGGTCTGAATGACTTTAACAGTGTTCCGTTGCCTTTATTTAATGTCTGAAGTTCAAACTGTACTTATAATTCCACATCTAACCATGGCATCATTTTATTTCTCTGTCGGCTATCAGAGAGGTAACAGTAAATAGCTGTGGGTCAAATCATGTTATAATTTCATTTGCTTCCCTGATAGAATGCCTTAGAATGAGTTAGAATAAGTGTGTTTTAAACGTTAGCAGAAAAGTTAAAAAGCAAATGGGTTTGGATTTGAGGCTGCACAGCGCTCCTCCTTACCACATAACCCAGGTCATTCTGATCTGTTTCTATTAGCAGGAGGTCTGAGCAGCTGGAACAAAGAACATGTGCATCTTTTCACCCAGAAAGAGCTTGATTAGCACACAGGACACCATGACAGCCAAAGCACAGACATTTTCACATTGCCCTTAAGCTGAGAGTGAGAGGAAAATGTGTTCTCCATGCCTTTTTGTCTCTGAACTCTGAGCCAGAGCTGCCAAAGAGAGCTGTAATCGCTGACAAGTGAGAGAACATTTTTATGATGAGCATGCTTCTTTCCTAAGGAGTGGAATGTGCTCTGGAATCCATCTCAAGGAGACTGTCAAGCAGTCTTCCCGATGGCAACTGTCCTTGGTCACTTTAGAGTTAGGCTGGCTTTAAGTGCTGCGGCTGCATTTCCCACACTGAGGAATGTGAGCTACTCCGGAGTGCTCCAGGAATGCAGCCTGAGCAGCCACAGTCCTTCCTTCAGGCAGTGTGGGGCCTGGGAGCCTGGGTTCCTGCTGCAGTTTCCAGTGCTGGTGGCCAAACAATCTATATTTGGAAACACCTACTACTGAGAGCTGATCCTCTGCCCAGCCCCTGCTTGCCATTTAATAGGGGGGAAAATAAAACCCGACACAGAGGAGGCAGAATATACATTCTTTTTTCCATAACTAAGAGGCTTTGGAATCATTTCAGGTAATTCCTCCCACCTCCCCTGGCCAGTTAATGGAGCAGGCTATTTGGCACCGAGAGGAACTTCTCTTTCAGAGGGAGCTGCACAAATGATTTGGGCCGTATCTTCAGCATTTTACTGATCAATGCAGAAAACAGAAGAAACCTTTTAACCGAGCTCAGTTCTCTAATCTTTACCATTTGCATTAAAGGATCACCTAGAGATCTGTAGTGCTCTAAAATATAGGATCCTTCTCCCTTGCCAGGTAGCTCAAGGTTATGGAAGTCTCGCAGTAAGAGCCTTTGGTTTCCTGCTGAGGTTGAGATGTAATTCATAAGGTGGTTGCTGATGGTTTTCGACACCATGCTCAGCATGCTGATATCCTTCACTGAAAAGGCAAAACCCAGTATACTTGTAATTCTTCACAGCAAGAGAAAGGTTAGTCAGTAACTTGATCTTCCTCAAAAATAGGCCAAGATATAAGATTTATCTCGTATATACCAAAATTTAATTAGTTTATCTCTTTTGCTAACAAACTGTAGTCATCAGAAATGGAGAGATCTAATAATGGAGAGACATAATAGGCAAAACCCACTTCAAATAATTTTTCATTATCATTTACATTTTTGGTCATTTGGTTCTGCATACATAAAAGCTGAAAATTCAGAGAATAACTCACATCAAATGGCTTCACCCAGGTAAAAGCTAAACCACTTTACATAAGAATGAATTTTTCTGAATGGGAAACTTGTGGTAATCTTCAGACACTGGAAGGGAGATTTTTCTTATCAGATTCTCACCTGAAAGATAATTCAATATCATTTGAAAGATCTCTAGTGGAAGTGTTTGAAAATACCCAAGTGTTGACAGAGATTGGGAGTGTGTGTCCGAGGGGTTGCAGCGCTGACTGGAGCGACGGGTGCTGCGCCTGTATTTCTGATTCGGAATCAAGGTGTAGCTGGTCCCTGGGGTGGAGGTCATTGTCCTGTCAGTCCCATCAATTGAACCTGGAGAGAAAACATGGAAGTCTGTCATAACAGAGGAAGAAAATACCATCCCCGAACCTAGGAGGAAATGGCCGCATTGTTGACACTGCGATGGAGCGTGAAAATCTGGTCATATGCATAGGATAAGGATTTGCTTTAGTTTAGTGCAGTGACATTTAATTTACTAAGTGATGTTCTAATTCCATGCCTCAGAGAACGGAGTATTCAGCTGATTTTAAAGGAGGAAAAGATAAAAGCATGGGGGTCATCCTTTGAGTGCGACATCGGGAAGATGAGAAAATAGTTCCGAAAGGAAACTCTTGAAGTGCATGTGATGGTACAAGCTGCAGTGGTTAACTAAGTTCTCTTACCTTGGTACACCAACTATTCAATAGAATAAGATGAAGTTCTAGGGATGTTATTGAAAGGACTGTCATGTTACTTGATTCCTCTAGTGATAGCTGTTTATACACAGTTATACTACTTACACAGATGCTTGCATACGACAAAAAAAGGGATTAAAAGTAACAAAGTGATGCTTCAAATCATTTTTTCTGCAGCATTTAAGTTGGCACGTGGCTTGATTTCATATAATGACATATATATTTTATATCATGACATATATATTTCATATAATGACATATATATTTCATATATGTGTGATATACACATGTGAACAAAGAAAACCAATGAGCCAAACTCTCCCAGAATCCTGAGGGCCTGAAAGGAATGAGCTTTAAAAGATCAATACCTAAGCTCTTTTGCTTTGCTTTCTGGTTTCTGAGTCCCTAGAACAGGCCCACCTCACCTTGTCAAGCAGCAGTGAGAGTTAGTGCCTCGCTACCTCGAGTCTTATTCTTTTTAACAGAGATTTTTCACACTGTTTCTTGATTCCAGCAGCTGAGGCTCCAGGGAAATTGCCACGGAGAATGAGTGCTGCAGTGTAATTACAAGAGCTGGCAGCGCTGGTAGCAACAGAACTGGACCCCATCCAAGCTGCAGTGCAACATCCCAGTTGCCATCAGTGGGAAACACGCTTGGAGAATAGGCCTCATTGTTTGGAAGATTAAAAATTGACAAAAATTACAGCAAACGAGTTCCAAACATCCTTCATGTTTCTTACGAAAGCCTGCAGAGCCAGACCTCTCTAATGTGCCACTGAGCAAAATTACCACATCCACAATGGAAGCACTGTTTGTCCTGACAACTGCAAGAATACAGGCCATTTCATTAGCAGTGTTACAAATGGGTTTGGCTGGCTCGGGCCTGGGTGTTGGATAGAGTTTGCATTGTGCAGTTAAGGAGGTTATACTTCACTGGAAGCCTTTTTCATTTTGGTATGGTTTAATTCTAGCTTCTAAGCTCCAAGCTTAAACTTTCACAAGGCTCGTGAGCCAATATAACTGCTCCTAAAATTAGTGTTTCATTAAGCTTTTGCACTGCCTGAGACAGAAAACTGCTGTAACACCTTTAGGAACAATCAAGAAACCACTTACAGATAAACATAAGTGTATATGGATAAATGTTTACCTTCTAAAAGCAAAGGCTGAAGTCAGTTGGAAATGTATACTCACAAGTGTGGGTTGAAGACAGCTTGAATTCCTTGTGCACAGTGCACAAAGCAGCTCCACTCCTCTTTATAGCCACTAAAATGCGTTCAAGACGGGCTAAACCTGATACATATTTCAGATCCATAGACATAAAGTTGCAGCCCTACGCTACTTTCTTTTCCTCCCCACTCCCCTTCCCGCGCTCAGCAGGACTGTACTTGGGAGGATTTATGGCCTCTTACCTCGGGTCTGCAATTGTGTTATAGGGAAGGATAAAACCACTTTGCCACCAGGGAGGTTTTCAGCCGAATTCAGCCAATTCCGGTCTGTTCCCGTTCAATCTGATCGAAGTGGAATCGACTCCCACTATTTGAACCTAGAGAGGAGCTAGATAAAAAGAACATAAATAAACCCGACTACAAACAGTGAGTTTCAAAGCCAAAAGCTTTAGAGACTTTTACTGAAAGCTCCCATATGCTTCCTCTTTGACTTAACGTGGGGTTTTCTTTCTGAGGGAGTTCAGCCAGAGCAGGGCCATGGTGTGAGCATCCCCATCTGCTTGCCGGGATATGGCTTGTTTAGAGAACTGCTTAATCCAGGCTGGAAATTGAAAGGTAAACGTTAAATATTTAACAAACTAAACTCAGAATATCAGCCAGGAAGGGTGGCCTTATTTGTTGCTATAAGCTGATCTGTTTACAGAGCAGAAAGCAGCAACTCCCAGTGCAGAAAGCAGCAAATCCCAATGTTTCTTGTCCCGGAGCAGTCGCTAACCGCCCGCTAATGGATGCGCTGTTGTCCTGGTGCCCCGTCTTAGGGTTTGGCAAACATTTATTGCTTACTTTGGAGATGGCTTTGGAACATTTCCTCACAAAGAGCACGGAACCATTTGCTTCAAATATTAGCTCCAAAGGGGATTTTTTCCCCCCTTATTTCTTTAGGTTTTTCCTTCTCAGTGCACAAAGGCACGGGTTCAAGTGAGGGAGGACAAACCTCGAGGGCCCTGCTTGTCCTCGTACCCCCCCCCAGCCCACACACAGTGCACAACCCCTATCTTTTCCCTTATGCTAAAGGCATAACTACATCTTAAATACCTCACTACGTCCTTAAACGACTTCTATGGGGCTGCTAGCGCGGACTGAAAGCACCTCGGGAAGGGGTAGCCATGAGCCCAATGCAGAGCTGAGGGAAGCCTGCCCCTGCTCATGGCGGCTGCGGGGAGGGAGGACCCTTCCCCTCCAGGGTCTGCATGGAGGGGGAGCACCGACCCCTGCTTGCTTCTCCCCTCACGCTGGGTTTGCCCTCATCGATGCAGTAAGTTATGCTTGTCCTTCGGGTTGGGTTTAGCCAGGCCATGACACACCTTTAGGCCGAAGAACCAGCTAGGCCGCGCTCCCCTCCACCCCCCCCCCCCAGCCCCCCCCCCCTCCCCAAAAAAGGGGGACCTGCACCCCCAAACCTCCCCCAGGCACTAAAGAAGGTCTCAAGTTGATGCTTGCTTACAAAGAGCACCATAGGAGCCATGTTTTACCTCAGGGATGAGCCCTGTCCTCAACAGCCCCCCAGGGCCGGGGCGCCTGCGTCTGAGGGGAGCCACAGGGGTGTGGGGTGGAGGGGGGGGGGAGAGGAAAAGAGTATTATTATTGTTATTATTATTATATTATTATTATTATCAATTCATCATTTAAAGCATGATTTCAGCCACCCATCGCTCCCTCGGGGGCTGAAGTGGGTCTGTGTGGGTTACTGTGAGGCAGACGTGCTTGCCAACACTGACATAAACCAATGCAGCTTGTCAATGGGAGGGGCGGGAGGGCTGCGGTGCCCGGGGGCAGCCGAGGGGTGCTGCTGCGGGGCTGCGCCATTACCGTGCTTTAATAAGCCATTAATGACTTAATTTCATGCTAATTAGTTTGTAAGGATGACTTTCCCGCCTTTCCGCCCGCTGCCGCTTTCAAAGCGGGGTGGGAAGCCAGGGAGCGCCTCGGCCTCCTGATGAATAATTAATGAGGTCCCCACCAATCCGCAGCCGGAGAGCGCGGCGTGGCCACGCCCCCCTCGTGAATAATTAACGCCTTTGGGCCGCCATGTCAGCAGCGGCGGGCTGTACTGGTGGGGCTGTGGGTTCGAGGCTGGCCTCGGCTCTTTGTGGGGCGAGCTGGCTCCTTGTGGGGCGAGCGGGCTCTTTGTGGGGTGAGCGGGCTCCTTGTGGGGCGAACGGGCTCCTGCGGCGGTTCGGTGTCCGCGGGCCTCCCACCGGGGTGAGTGGTTGATGACAAGCTCTGAAGTGCTGTGGGGTTTGTGTGTGGGCACATGGGTACCACCAGGAGCATCTCTGCGGGTTACGGGTTTTAGGACGCCTATGGAATCACGGAATGAATCCCAGATCGGTTTGGGTTGAAAGGACCTTAAAGCTCATCCATTTCCAACCCCTGCCGTTTCAATCTCCCCTCTGGCAGGTTAAAGCCATTCCCCTTGTCCTGTCCCTACAGGCCCTTGTCCAAAGCCCCTCTCCACGTTTCCTGTATCCCCTTTAGGTACTGGAGCTGCTCTAAGGTCTCCTGTATGTCTTGGGACAAAGCTATAGCGTTGTAAATCAAACCCATGGCACAACATCAGTTAGCAGAGGCTGTGCTGCGTGCACCAAGCAGTTGGGAATCGCTGTGCAGCGGGGAGGATGCTCATGCTGTGAAGCAGCGTTGGCCCGTGGTGCTGCGATGCGAACACCGTGGCAAGCCGCCGTGCTTTGTGTAGGGCAGCGAGCAGTTGGTATTCACTAAAAAGCTCGTTTAAAATAACGATTTCCTTTTACAAACCCTGCCTCGGAGGTAGCTGCCTATAAATAACTGCTTCTGTCGGGGATAAGTGAGTGAAACCCTCGGGAAAGGTTTTCCTGCTGCTCCCAAGGCACTTCCCATACGATGGCAGCAGAGGGCTGCAGCTCGATTAAAGGACTGCTCCCTGTAGGGTTTTCTCCCCCTCAAAGACTGTTTGGGTTGGAACTTCATTGGAGGAAGAGCTTTCCTTAGCGAAACTGGAATAGCAACGAAGCAAAGGTCACGCCAAACCGAATGAGGAATGGTACGGCATCATTTGGTGTTAATGATAAATGATAATGCTGCTTAAAGGAACGGCGTCGAGAGTGGGAATTACGATGATGGAATCCCGATGGCAGGATTTTTGCTGAGGAGGTGAATTAGACAAACGTGCCTCCAAGGCATCATCACAGCCTGAGCAGACAGCGGGGCAGCACCAGCTACGTACAGCCTAAAGCCTTGCAGTATCCCTGTTCCTTTTGCCATGTGGGAGACAGCCAGCAGTATCCCTGCCGACTACCCCTTCCTGCAGCTGGGTTGTGCCTCTGTTAACCCTTCACTCCTCCTCCTCATCCCCACGCCTGTTTCCTGGTCTGTGCCTCTGTTCCATCACAAGAGAGTTGCATTCCAGGAATGCCGGGATAAAGGATTTCAGACGTGTTCATTTATGCCCGGACCAATGTTTCCAGTGGTTCCCCCACTGCTTGGGGAAAGAATATAATAAAATGGGGCACGTATGGAATATTTTGCTACAGCTTTCTGGAGCCTGACAGCGGTTTAAGGGTTTCCTGTGTCCAAACCCACATCCAAACATGTTTAATATGCAGTGATGGACCTACATTTAACTCCATAGTGATGGGCATAATGAAGGACCACAGCAGCACCACTGCGTTCTGCAGTTTAATTGCATTCCGGGGTAAAAGTATTATCTCCTGTTTGGTTTAAATTGGTTGACTGAGTCACGGTTGATTTCTTCTTCCATTTGAGGCTCTAATCTCGTCGCTGTTTGTAAACTGGTTTGAGCTGACAGGATGAAAGTTAATAAGGGAAATATACAATTGAGTTGCTCTAAACTCGGGTGATGGTTCTCTTGGAGTGCTAACGGCTTATTCTATGCAGGAGGGGCTTTGCCTTGTGTACCTAATTTATCCTTGCCCTGCCTACACCAAACGTGTGAGCATCATGATGTAACCGGTAAAAATACCAGCTCTGTCTCTGGTGCTCTGCTCCTGCTGGGGACAGAAACAGTGGCAGTGGGCATGAGCCTGTTGGGCACCTAAAACCTATAGGAGGCTCGGAGGTAAATGTGCTGTGTGTGAGCATGTCATTAAACCATAGACTCACAGAGTGCTTTGTGTTGAAGGGACCTTAAGGTCATTCAGTTCTAATCCTCTGCCACGGGCAGGTACCCCTTCCACGGGAGCAGCTTGCTCCAAGCCCCTGTGTCCAACCTGGCCTTGAACACTGCCAGGGATGGGGCAGCCACAGCTTCTCTGGGCATCCTGTGCCAGCGCCTCAGCACCCTCCCAGGGAAGAGCTTCTGCCTAAGACTTCAAAGTCATTTTAGTGTGTGTAAGAGATGGAAACCACCAGCTCCTGGGATGGATGTGCCTGATACTTGCAGTCACCTTAGCAAGTGATTCCAGCCTGCACTGAACACCCCTTTCCCCCCAAGCCTCTGTAAGTATCTCACAAATCCCAGCCCATTTACAATTTGTTTGTGACAAAGGAAGTTATTCCCATCCTTCCTTCCCAAGCGAAGCAACACAAAGACATTCAATATACAACCAAGTGAGGAGTCGAGGAGCCCTCATTCCCTGCTCCCGATTGCGACCAAAGCTTCATTCCCCAGCCCTTGTCAAATGCAGCTTCAAAGCTGTGCATCTATTTGAGGTTTTATTCCACCACCCACGGGCCCTTTTGTAGAGCAATCTGCTCCCTGCTTATTCACCATGCTCTCCATTCCGGGTCTGCATCCTGTTGGAGCTGAGGTTACCTGGCCAGGGCACAAACCCGTGTTCATTTGTGTAATGGATCAGGTATTTCCCCCTTTTCCCCTGTTTCTGGAAGAGGGTTTGAAAACCATTTAGGATGAAACCTATTTGCTGAGAGCTGGCTATTTATATTTCTGCTTATTTATATATTATAGGGTATTTGCTTATATATGTATGTGTATATATATATATAAATTGAATATATATATACAGTTCCTAATTATGTATCTGCTACTTTTCTGCTGGAAAAAAATAGAACAAGGCATTGGGATAGTTGAATTCTGTTCTGAGGCTGGAATTAACTCTTAGCTGTCCCTATTGTGGTTGTTTCCAGCCTGGAAAAGAATTCTGGGGAAGAGGGGATGGGCAGGGTGTGAGGGGCTGGGGAAGGTCAATGGGGAAATGGGAAGAAGCAGATACATTGCCCCTTTTTCCAATACTGCAGCACAGTTGTAGCCAGCAGGGACAAAGTTCTGCTTCGAAAAGGAAGGATTTAGGTCCTCGAGGAGCATCAAGGCCAAGAATGGGAGCTATAGATGCTATGGAACAGCCCCAGGCTGGGGAGTGGAAACAGCCCCAGGTGGAACATGGTGTGTTCCTGTTCACACATCACAGCCAAGCAGCTGGGATACCAGGAGCTGCTTTTATGACAGCTCTGTCCCCTGTGCACATCATCCTCTCTCAGTGTGTCTCTAATGATCTTTTCTCTTGTAGAGGGTGTGAAGCAGGACCCAACTGCTCCAGTTTTGGTGCCAGCTTGGCTATTTCTACGTGACACAGCAGTTTGCAGGGGAAGAGCATGGAATATGCGTAAGTCCTGGCTGTGCCCTTAGCAGCTACTCTGGGTGTAACACACAGGAGCAGTGCTGTCAAAGCTCCCACAGAAATCAATCTATCGATGGCACAAAAGCCATTCCCTACAGTTCATCATCTCCTTTCATCGCTGCATCGTGCCAGTTTGTTCACACTTTTCATGTACAGTAGCAAAGGAAGCCCAAACACAGAGGTGCTCCCCAGAGCTTCCAGGTAATGACCCTGAAAGTGCTTCAGGGTTTTAACTACTGTCAAAACCAGGCCAAGCAAATTATAGCCTTGATTCAAACCCCAATTACACTCGTTTTTATCCCAGCTATGTCCTGGGAACACCTCCTGATAATGATGTCTTATTGCTAAGGCAGCAGAGGACGTCTTCAAAAACCTTTGTGTTCTCATAGCATCCATTAAGAGAATACAAGAGGAAAATCACTCCTAGAAGTTCACATAATCGGAGCAGTCATCTTTTGCATGGTTTATTTTGAAAACAAAGCAGTCCAAAAGGGAGATTTTTCTTGTTTAATAATAAGACTGTATTCCATGCAGCTACTCCATAGTAAATACCTTGCATTAAAAGACAGTTAAAGTGCCTTTAGTCCCTCAAAATAGTCCAGCTGTGCTGTAAATTCAAGTATGTGGAAAATAGGCCTTTAGTTATTAAGAGAATATGTTTTGATCAGGGTCCTGCTCCCACTGATGTCAAAAATGGGGGGGTAGGGGTGTTTAGCCTCCCTTCCATAGGAGCAGACCCCACCTCACGCTGGTCTCTGACAAGCCCTGTGCTGTGTTTGCCCACTTGCTGAGTGGCCAAGGGGCAGCTTCTTGATGGCATTTTCTGCCTTATGCCCAATGACACACTCAGCACTTGCAGGGTGCTTGGAGAGACAAATGAGGAGCCACAGCACTTGGTTGTGGTTTGCATCTTTAACCAGCTGAGCACTGGGCTGAGCACAGCCAGCAGCCCCTATGAGAGCTCTAACTTACACAGGTTGATATGCACACGTATGTTACGCAGGCTGAAGCAAGCCCAAACCCAACCCAGAGGGAAACCCCAGGATGTGGCTAGAGAAGCCCCAAGATTCAAAGCAAAATCCAACTCTTTTTATGTTGTAGTCCCCATCATCCTGTTCTTGCTCCAGCACTCCAGACTAGCAAGATTAACCAGCATCTTGAAGTCAGAGTTTGACAGACAGGACAGGGATATTGATCCTGATGCTTTTGACTTGGTGCAGCCGGCATTGTACTTGCAGCCACCCTCTTCTCTTCAACCTTAGAGGAGCACTTCTTGATGGCAAAGGCATTTTTCTCTTTCTTCTAGGCATTGGCAACGTTACCATTGGGGTTTCCTGAATTTAAGAGACAACCTCTTCTCTTCCACTCTCCCAGATGTGAACTTCAAGTGCCCAGAGCTAGACCTCACATCAAAAGGCAGGACAGAATATGTTACCCTCCTTGAGACACAGAATGTAAGCGCCTTGCTTCTCCAGGCTGGGCACTGAGAGATGCTGGTTGGCTCCAAACCTTCAGCTCAGAGCACGACTATGGGCAGAAACGTCTTTATCTACTCTACCCCAAGATCTTAGAGATGATGAATTGGAGCTGTTAATGCTCTACTTGACAGTACCCTGAACTATATTCTTCAGTGGAAGAGACAGCAAACATCTGGTGCATGGCTGCAGAACAGCCTGCTTTGGTTTCTTTCTTTCCTTAAAGGAAAAAGAACCATTTGAAACGGTCTTTTTCCCTCCAGGCACTCAGAACTTGGCCTCTCCCCTCAATGCAGGTGTTTCCCATATCTCAGCCATTGCTGTGCAAGGCACTTGGATGTTGTTGTTCTCCACCTGAGCACCTGATCCTCTTCTGAATCCTTCCAAGACCCTGGCTGCAGTAATGCCCCAGTGGTTTACACAGCTTTATACATTATTTAAAGTCTGTTTTCTTTCAAATTCCCAGCATTTCAGAACCCTTGGATATTACCCAGCATTTCCAGGGCTTGTGGATGAGGAGGAGTACCCCAAATCTTCCTGTTCCTATGTGTGCATGGTCAGAAAAACAAGCAAACCAAGGCCATTATTTGAAAAGAGTAAAATCCAGAGCAAATTCCTTACCAGCTCATAATCATTTCAAAGGAGATCAGATCCTGGGCATAAACTAGATGAAAGCATCCCTTTGAATTCTTTCTCCTTCAAGGATACAGGGGGAAAGGCAACCTTCCAGCTGAAAGCTTCATTTGGGCATAAAGTTTCTCGTCAAACTATGTCTAAAGAGAGACTTTGTCTGGGCTAGAACAACTCGGCGCGACTCTGACTTAGCCAGTTTGAGCATCTTGGTGCCTTTATGCCATAAGATGAGCCATATCTCCCTAGTGGCTATGTAGAAGATAGTAGAATCTGGGTGTAAATGCCACAAAGCAGCCGTATTTGTCTTGAATGGCTATAGGAGTCAGCAGATGAGAAGGAAAACACAAACTAGACAGCCCTTGCCTTTGGCAGCATCCCCCACCAATGGCAGCTGGACCAGGCGGGGGAGGAAATTTGCACCAAACCCATGATTATCAGAATAAATAAATGAGGATCAAGAGAAAATTAATTAAAAAAGGGGGAAAAGGCCCCATACACCCAACACCTTTGTTGGGGGAAGGAAACCTTTACCTTCCACTGGACTTTGGCCTCCTTTGTTTTTAACAGGAGCTTTCCTCAGTTTAGAGCCCAAGCTCTGTCTGTGGAAGCAGGGGGCAGTATGTATAACCTTAGTATGGAATAGTCTTAGTATAGCCTTAGTGTGGAATTCGATGGCACAGAAGGAGTAGGAAACCCTGAGAGGTCTCGTGTCTGAGCCCTTTGCTAGGGTCAGAGGCTGGAATCATTCTGTGCACAAATCCAGACCAGGGACCTATGGCAGGCAAAATAAACCAGTAGAAGCAATCCACTGCCTCCAGAAGGCTCTGAACCCAGGATATTCGATGGGGTGAAGCCACCAGCGTGTGCCTTCACTCCTTATTTATGTGCCCTGCCCACGGAGGCGTTTGGATTCCCTGCAGGACTGAGCCTGTGGGAGGACTCTGTTTCACTCGTGCGCTATCCCCATCCTCCTCCACCACATCCCACTCTGTTCCTGCCGGATTAGTGGCCACAGCACCAGGGTGTGTTCTGAAGGAATCCAAGCTGTCTGCAATCACACTGTCTGCTTTAGGGCAAGGGTTATCATTAGGGATATAGCAAACTAATGAGATGCCAAAAAAGTGCTTCAGAGCCATTGGCTCACAAACATCCTGAAGGGGAGTCCTCTGCAGGGTTTTGCTGTTAAGACAGAGCAGGTTTCCCTTTCTCCCAGGCAAGGGGTAGAAGCTGTTGCTTTGAAAGGAGGGGAAGGCAGGGAGTTGAAGGCTGCAGGCTTCTCAGCTGCAAAGACAAAGCTAAATGTTGCCTGCCACAAAAGGAGGGGGGAGAGGAGGAAGGGATGGAGATGGGAGAGAAGAGAAAGGGATGGAGAGTGGAGAGAAGAGAAAGGGATAGAGTGGGGAGAGAAGAGAAAGGGATGGAGATGGGAGAGAGGAGAATGGGATGGAGAGGGGAGAGAGGAGAAAGGGATGGAGAGGGGAGAGAGGAGAAAGGGATGGAGATGGGAGAGAGGAGAAAGGGATGGAGATGGGAGAGAGGAGAAAGGGATGGAGATGGGAGAGAGGAGAAAGAGATGGAGATGGGGGAGAAGAGACAGGGATGGAGATGGAAGAGAAGAGACAGGGATGGAGATGGAAGAGAAGAGACAAGGATGGAGATAGGAGAGAGGAGAAAGGGATGGAGATGGGAGAGGGTTGGTGAGCCCTGGGAGCCAGCTTTAACCTCTCCTGGGCCACCACCAGCACCTCCCCAGCCTCTCCATGGAGACGAGCGAATCAGCCCAGCTTTCCTGAGTGCAGGCAGCAAAAAGCATCGGGTTTGCTGTCTCCAAGAGCTTCCTGCTTGAGGCAACCTCATGTTTTGCCCATAACAAGATTTCTTCCCCCTTTGCTGCCCCTGTAAGGCTCCCGGTGGAGGAGGGAAGAGGTCAGCCAACACAGCAGGGAAAAACCCAGCCACAAACCATAAACCCCACTGTGAGCTGAAGAGCTGAGTGCACTTCTTTCCACCCCGCATCCAGGGCTACAGCCAGTCCAATGTCCACAGCCAACTGCCATCCCTGCAGGCTCTGCTATCCCGGGAGGAATCCAGGTAAATCCAGCCCCACATCACCCCGCCTCACTCTTCAAATGCTCCATTGGGTCTTTTTTTGCCTCTACTCGCTCTTTCTTTTCCAAGAGGGGAAAGACTTTGCAATAGGATAACAGAAGACTCCAACACTTGAGACATGGGAGGTTTGAGGTGCGGGGGGGGGAAGAAACGCTCAGCACTGTTCTGCTTCCACAAAGCCCTCCTTCTCCTGGCTGGCTGGTTCCACCTCGGAGTACGTTGCGTGGTTGCTGTGATTTCGGAACTTCATGGCAGGCCAGTGATGTGGCCTTCGCTGGGGACAGAAACAAAGAGCCATCAGAAGCTATGGCAGAGCCCTTCACGCCAAGCCCGCAGGGAAGTTGGAGTCTTGGTCCTGAAACAAGAACAGTCTTTGTGGAAGTAATAAATGCTAACAAATACCTTCGTGCTTAACCCCGTTCATCCCAACACATCCATCTCGCTGAGCTGACCCACTGCTAAGGTTAAAATGGGGCAGGAAATGGAAGCTTGAAGTGAAACCTCACATCAGCCTCAGAACAAGGATGCGCTGTGCCCGGGGCAGCAGCCGAGCACGGCCACCCCACACAAGCCAGCTTTGTGTGTCCTCTATCAGCAGAGCAGGGACGACTGCATTGCCCCATCCCAGCTGGGTGCAGGTGAATGCATCCAACACTGCCAAGTGCTGCTAGACTGGTAGAGGCCACGTAGCTCAATTCCCTTGCAAACAGGGCACATGGAGCAAAGCCAAGTGCTCAAGGAAAAAGCCAGGGAGCGATAAGGAAAGGCTGAGGGTTCAGTGTTGCTCACTCCCTCCTCAGCAGCTCCTACGCCAGGATTCAGCCCACTTCTGCCTGCCTTGGGATCCTGCAGCAAGCGGTCTTCTGGCTTTAAACAGCAGATGGAGACGGTTGGACCCCCATCATTGTGTGAATTAAAACCTTCTCTTTAGAGCCTTCACACCACCACTTACACAGTAGCTGATGGCGTGCCACCTAGCAGTAAAACCTGACAATTTTAGTCCCCAGAATCCAGCTGGGTGACTCAAAAGGCAGCGAGCTCAAGCATGTCGTGGCTCCAAGCGAGCCCTCCGACTGCGTGTCGACGGCTCCTGCAAGCAGGTGGAAGAGGGGAACGTCACATGGGGGAAAAGAAAAGGCAATGTGTGAAAGAGAGCATGTGAAAGGGAGCAAAATAACACCGTGTGGGAGGGGAGAGCCTAAGTTTAAAACATCATCAGCTGGAGGTTGGGAGATTAGCTCTGACTGTAGGACCACGAAAAGAAACCCAGTCTGGACTCCATCAACGCTCCTCTTTGCTCTCCTGTAGAAGGTTGGGATTTGGGGTGATAGCAGAGGGAACCGGGCGAGGGATCAGGTTCTGCACTCACCTCAATGAAGAAGAGGGCAGCAGTGGACGTGGGGTGGCTGTTGATGTAAATGCCAGCGAGGATGATGACTGCGATGAGCAGCACGGCCAGGACGATCCCCACGATGGTGCCAGTGTGGATCGGGGCGCTGGCTTGCTTGGAAGGAAGGCTGCTTCCCAGCCCTGCAAGAAAGGGGTCACTTCAGTCTGGAACTGTGCCGGGACCTCGGGGAAAAAGGAAGGGAAAAGCAAGGGAAGAGCTTTCAGAGCTCTGCACGTAAGACTGAGCACCTCAACCGGCTCCTGCCTGGCTCACGAGAGGGGAGGAGGCACCAAAGGGCTGTCCGGGCTCCAGCATCCCTTCCAGAGGATACAGGGGGGTTGGTTTGAAGGCAGATTAAACCAGCACCATGCAGAACCCCATCTCCAATCCGTATGCTTTATAGATTGGCTGCTCACTCTGCTGGAAAGCCATTAGCCATATGCTGAGCTGTGCCTCCCTTGCCCTCGGTCCTCAGCTATGAATATACAAAAGAGGATGGAGGTGGCACTTCTGAACAGTGCCATTGCCACCATTTGGGGAGCAGTTTGGCTGCAACTGGGAAGCTGAAACATTCCAAGGGCCCTGTGCCTGCAAAGGAGCCCATCCTGCGCCCAGTTTAACTTCCCTGAGCTGCTTCCAGGTGAGCGGAATGGGCTCGGGGTTTGCACAGACCACAGTGCTTGCAAACCTGACATCGGGTGAAGAGGGCTCAGATCCTTCCCATACTCTGGAATTAGTCAGAGCCTTAAGGCAACAGTTTGGTTCCCTGCCCTTGGGGCCGATGAGCAGACTTTGAGTGAGAAAGGATTCATTGGAACAGGGATGAAAAAGGCAGAGCTGGGCTGAAGAACACTTCATATTTGGACTTTACGCTGCTCTTTGGCACAGCTGAGGAAATTCAAAAGGAAAAGGGACTTTGTCTGTGCAAAAACTGCAGGGAAAGGGAATTACGTGGAAAGAGAAAACTCATCATCTTCGTTTGCACAGCAGGGCTAAGCGGGAGAAGCAGACAAACAGCAGCAGGGTAAAAGAGATTTGGCCTGACTCTCACTTTCCACTCTCTGCCATGGTACTAATCAGGGTAAGGACAAGAGGAGCCTTATCTTGACTCCATCCTCTCTGCTCCAGCTGCCCACCCTTTCCACCCGGTGGATTTGGATTTGATTTCACTTGGAATGCCTGGGAGCAGGCAGGGGGAGGATGAAGGCCTTACCTTCACTGCCTGCGTACTGAGTGAGCTTCGTGTCATCTGAAAGAACAAAACACAGGCAAATAAAGTTAGGAGGCACCGAGGACGTTCTGCAGCTTCCCACCCGCTCCCACTATGGTGTTTGCAGCCATGAGTTGCTAATACAGGATCCCAGCCTGGTTTGGGTTGGAAGGGACCTTAAAGCTCCTCCAGCTCCAACCCCTGCCACGGGCAGGGACCCCTTCCACTGGAGCAGCTTGCTCCAAGCCCCTGTGTCCAACCTGGCCTTGAACACTGCCAGGGATGGGGCAGCCACAGCTTCTCTGGGCAGCCTGTGCCAGCACCTCAGCACCCTCACAGGAAAATTAAGGCTTCTTTATAGCAAGTTCTCAGTCATGGTGCCCATACAGCCCGAGTAAATCAAGGGGATGGTGTTACATTATAGATGTCTTCCGTGGAGGCCCAAAATCCAATCCCATTTTCAATCTCATTCTGGAAGAACTGGGATATGTCACACAAGGCTTAGCATCTTGACGGGCTCCACATCAGCACCCTCACGTGTCCAGCTGGAATCTCACTGCTTGGCTTCCACGCTGACACATGGCCCATCCACAAACACCCCCATGAGCGGCTCCAGCGAGATGGGGAGGAGGATGCAGGGGGTGGCTCCATCCTCGTCCTCTCTGCTTCCTTGGCGGTGCTTCTCCAGATGAAGCTCGCTGCCTGATGCAGCTGGATGAGTGTTTGCTTCCAAGAGCACAAATGAGCTCCATGCCTGGCTCTGTCCCAGAAAAGCCTCTTGTTCTTCTTCCAAGAACCGGCGATGAGTTGGGAAATCATCTCAGCCCTGGTGTCGTGTTCCCCCCTTCCCTTTAATTGCTCCTTTCAAAGTCAGCTCTGTCAGCACGGGCTCCGTTCACCCACCCAGCTCCTTCCCATTGCTGAAGGACAATTAGGAGTGCTCCTTTCTATTCAGTCTAATTAGCAGTTTGCTTTAGGGACTATTAAGCAGGCAAATGGAAGTGATACCTGCCGCTAGGATCCGAGGAGCCAGCCCTGTCTTAATAGGATTATCAAGCTTTAGACCATGGGTGTCTCGAGGGACACTCAGGGCCTTGTGTGGAGCTTTCCTGCGCTGGAATCAACACCATTCCCAAGCAGAGGGCAATCACAACCCTGTGTTATTGCCACTCTGATTGTCCAGGCAGCCCTGAGCCACCAGCTAAGACCAAGCACATTAAAAGCAGGAGCCCTATATACTGTATTAACCCCTGCTATGATGCTGGGGTTCTCCCCACCAGGTACCAGCTGCTTGTGGACCTTCTCGAACACCCAAACTGGCTGCAATGCAACTGTAAGACTCTCCCCACGGATGGGTTTCCTCTCCTCCTTTGCCACGTCACCCCTCTCACCTTTTCCTTCCCATTGCCTCCTGTACTCTCCCCAACCCTTGTGCTTCAAAACCTGCTTGTTCTTGGATTTAACCGGATAAGAATGGGCTTTGGAGTGGGGTAAGCATCAGGGAGGCGGTACCCACGCGCTGGTCCCTACCTTCTGTAGTGAGGCTGTCAATGAAGAGCGAGGACGTGGAGGTGGTGAAGTCCTCATCCAGCGGGGAGGAAGAGCTCTCGGGAGGTGCTGAGTAGTGCTCACCGGCTGCTAAATCCTCACAGGTCTTCTCCTCAGCCTGGGAAGGAAACAGACAGGAGCCATTTTGCCCTTGCTCTCCTCCAGCAGGAGCATCAGTGGGCACCGGACTCCGCTTCCCAGGCTTGGGACTACCGAGCAAGAGGGCTTCCAACACTGGAGTGGAAGCAGAGGATGTGGTCCAGAAGTATGGAGGGGGCTGACCTAGGGGTTAGAGGAGGAAAAGGTTGGGAACCAGTTAAGCAGGCCAAGGTCTGACCTTCTTGCATCACTGGGTGACCTTACATAGGTCCTGTGACCCCCTTTCCCCTCACTCAAGCCTCTCGGTTAAGAGGAAACAAAGCTGGGTTTTCAGAGGGAGGAGAAAGAAAGAAAAGCAACCCAAAGCAGAACCAGATGTTTCCTTAGAGCTGATCTTTCCGAGACAAAGAAA